GTTTTAAATGGGACACCTGGGTTTTATCACCAATGGGGGGGCGGGGTCACAGAGCTTGTACATATATTAGAATTTAAATAAAAGAAAAAAATAAACGGCTTGCTGATGTCACCACTCTGACCTCTGTGTGGTTTTACCTGCTGCGTCTCATCATCACTGTAAATGATTGACTGAATTCTCGGGGGGGGCAGTGCTGATCACAGACTACACTTTAATTCTGACGACCAGGCAGAGTTGAACTTTGACCTCTGAGCGGGACAGAGGGAGGGTCTTCATAAACGCTGACAGAGGTGCTGCTGTGTCAGTGTGGAGGAGGCCTGCAGCCCACCATGGGTCACAGGAAGCTGTGTCTGCTGCTGCTGCTCAGCTGCTGCGCGCGGGCTCGTAAGTACCGACCCGTCCTCGTGCACGCACACGAGGACGTTAGTCTCACTCACGCCGTTTTTCTACATGGATGAAGAAGTTCTTCTCTCACTGATCTCTGGGATCGTTCATGCTTTCCTTAAACTCGGTGCTTGCAGGTGTAGTCGTCCTCACGTCACCTGTTTGACTGCAGCCGGAGACACGGGTCCCCTTTGGGCGTCAGCGTCATGCAGCTCATATTGTAAAAGTGTGAATATGACCCATCAGATCTGAGACAGGAAACACTCGTCTCTCTGATGTGTGCCAAACGCAACAAAAATCACTTTTTACACAAACAAATCTAAAGTTCAAATGTTTATATTCGAGTGTATAAAGTTTATTTCTGATGGGAAGCTTCAGTCGTCGGGGGTGATCTTGGCTCTTTTTAAGGTTTTATTATAATCGCGTCCTCTGGCCTCTAGAAGCCGCTCTCATTACTCGGGTATTAAAATACTGGTAAATATGTTGATGGTGTTTTCTTCCAGAGGACGAGACGGACGTGGACCAACAAACTGCAGCGTGTCAGTGTAAGTCATCCTCACTCATGCAAACTCGTTTTTATTAATTTTTATGAAGTTTGAGCTGAAAATATTCAATATTTAAAGAACTCTGGACTTTCTGCTCGCTGGAGGAAGTCGAGTGTGTGCTGTGTGCAAACACACACATCGACCTGCTAACAGATCAATGGCGCGCTGATAAACGCACGGCCTGTTTTCTGGAGATAGCGGCTCGTGGACTCCTGTCCTGTTTGTGAACGAGAGCTGCTGCTCACTCTCACCTGCGACAGGGTCAAAGGTCAGCTGCTGAGTCGTGGTGTGGAAAGCCAATCCTGAGATGAAGCAAGAGGACAACCATCGAAGCCGTTTCACATAAAGGAGCAAAGCCCTGACCATGTGACCCTCTCCTCCCCCCGCAGCAGCATCCAGATTCAAGGCCTTCAGGAAGTACGTGTATCGGTACAGCACAGAGAGCCGGAACAGCGCGACCGGCGCCGCCGACCTGAGAGACGGCCATGCGCTCACCTGTCAGGTAAACAGCTGTTTATGCGTCCCGTTTTTCACCTGATGACACGATGCTCCTCTCTGACCGTGGCTCTGCTATCGCCGCTCGCCAGGTGGAGGTCGAGGTCCCCCACCCGTGCAAGTTCATCATGCACACCAGGGGCTGCACCCTCAGGCCGGCCCCCAGCTCGGACGCCTTCCAGGCCGCCATGGAAAGGTGAGTGCAAGAACACAGACTGTATATTAAAATGG